TGTTGGGAAGTTTATCCCTTAGAATTCCCAGGACTATAGCATGATAATAAAAGCAACACTAACTGGTTTTCTAAACACCTGTAGAGCACTTAAAATCTATTTTGAGTCTTACCAACAAAGCTAATGCATTATTTAAATCAAGTTTGGATGCTGATGTGTTGTAGAATATGAGATGAATATAGCAAAACAATTTGTGCTTTTGAAGTACAGCTACTCCTAGGAAAAAGATTTATATTTTGGGGAAACATTAAGATTTTCTAAAGTAAACTAATCAATATGTGTTGGAGAAAGTGAAAAATGGTCACTGAAACCTTGATACTGCACAGACTTGCGTGCATACTTAACTATATGCATCTGAGTAGTCTCATTGACTTTAAATGGATTACTTACAGATGTATAGCTGAGCATATGAATGTGTCTTTATTGGACCAGTACGTATAAGTAGAAATATAAGTCTTATCATGATACTTGGAAATGCCAGTCAACGAATTCAATTTTCCCTGAGTTAACTACTTATTCAGGTGAACTTATTTACTATGCCACATGATTATTTTTCCTCCATGACAGGTTACAAGTACAGTTATCCCACTTTCAAATTTTAATCTGAAATTCCACATTGATTTTATGCTTTCTTCAGTTTTAAGTTCAAGAAAATCAATTTTACAGTTGAATTCTAGATTCTGATTTATTCCATTATGGGGTTTTTTGAGTCTTCCTGTAAGCATCTGAATTAGATGAAGCTGTGCTCTGATCCATTACAGCAACTACTGCATTGTTCCAAAAAACTTCTGATGCAGAACAGAGAGTGTTCATGTAGCTCCTCATTTAGAACTTTCGATTTTGTTGGTTTTTGGAAGGTTCTGTGGGGCTCCAGAGTGGAAAGGGGACATTATGATCCATACAGTATTGGATGTTCTAAAAGAACCGTGAAAATGCTACATGATATCCTAAATCCATAATAAGAATCTGGTACTGTGTGACAGAACTGTTAGGAGGCATAAATATTGGGTGGCCCATGTGCTAATTACAGTAAATTTTAGCTAGCATATTTAAGTGAGCCTCCTTAAACTTTTGAAACATAATTTTTTGGAAAACATTGAATTTAAGAGCCAAATTCTACACGGATGTACATTTAGGACAATAGGACTCTACCAAGTTAAGTGAGGGACTAATTTGGGCCTAAATGCTTGTTGCACTGGATTGTTGGGTGAATCATTCCATCTCTTAGGAGCTATGTTCATATTTTGGGGAGGCCTGTGGGGGAGTGGGAAATTAATCTTGTGTCCACTGAAAAACATTTTAATAACTGATTTATATTGTTGCGACAGTTGGTGATCTTATTAGGAGAACAGTGGATCAACCTGAAAGTTTCTGCCATTGAACTTAGCTAAAAAGCCCTCTGTGACAACAGATACTTAAGGAGTTTAAAATTTCTAAGGAACTTACAAAATAGTATTTCCTTATTTCTCTCCCTTGATCAAAGTAAGAAGTGTCAGAACAGAGAATTCACATGAGAATTTGACCCAATGGCAGTTGAATTCAAATGCTGAGGATGAGAGAACAAAATATACTAGAGTATTAATCTGCCTGCTGCAACACAAACCAAAGCTCTGTTCCCTCCCCTTTGAAATTCAGAATCAGTATTGGAGAATAGGCAATCCTAACGTCCTTCTCAGTTTATCTGATTTTCTTTAAAGCATGGGTGGGGAACCTAAGGCTCCCTGGCTTGCCTGGACCCACCTCCCGCAGCTTTGGGGAGCCTTCACTGGTGCTCCAGCCCTCCTCACCCTCTCTGCTTCCCCTTGGGGCTGGAGCACACACAACCTGCGAGCCTGCAGTCCCACCCCGGGCTCTGGTGTATAAGGGGAATGTGGGGAGGTTTGTTGGTTGATGGGTTTTTGTTTTTGCTTCTCATGTGCGTCCCCCTGACTATTTTTTTTTCTGTGGGCCAGTGGCCCCGACCCCAAAAAGGTTCCCCCCTCCTGGTTTAAAGTCCCACAGAGTTGTTAAAAAGGACATTTACAACTGGTTTTGAAGCTTCAGAGGGGTAGCCGAGTTAGTCTGTAACTGGAAAAAGTTAAAAAACAACAACTAGTCCTGCAGCACCTTAGAGACTAACAAAACATGTAGATCGTATCATGAGCTTTCGTGGGATCACTGCTACATATGACCAAGACTTAATATGCTTAACATATATATCCACATCCGTAATTAGACCATACAGGAAGCAGAAATATTGAGGCTGATTGGGTTTTATAAAGCTGCAAGCACCTATATCTAGGGTTACCAGATGGTTTCAAAAAAATACCGGACACACTTGATCTCAGATTGGGAGGGGCGAGGGGAGAGAACACTGGCCAGTGGGGAGTGGAGCTGGCCGGGAGCGGGTCGGGGGGCCCGTGGGCCCCCGGGGG